CTCTCCCCCCCTTAACCCATTAAACAGCTCCCCCAGACCACCCCCGCCCCCAATCTTTTGACACCCTTGGGCACAGAGGAGCCGGGCCGGGGGACCCCTGGGAAACCTAAGGGCGCCCCTTTGCCCGGGATTCCCCGGGGATTGGGGGCCCCCCGGGGCCTCCTGAAGCGGGCCCCTTGAAAAACCGCCGGGCCTTTGCAAAAGGGGGCGCAAAAGGCGCTGGGTGACCGGGAGCCCGGAAATCCACCGCGCGGTTGGCGAGCGGAGGCCCAGGTGGCCGCGCACAAGCCGGGCACGTCCCGCCGCCGGGACCGCGCAAGGTCCGCTCTCTGCCTGGCTTTACTTGGGTCAAGGGCGTAGGGCCCGAGGCGTGCTGGTTGCAGACCCCGACGCTAGGGGGCCTGATTGCCGCTGGGGATGAGCAGATTTCTCTTGGGAAAATGTGCCAAACGCTTCCCTAAGCCCCCAGCGGGTCCTCTTTCCACGCGGCCCCTACCCCACGCTCCACTAACTTCAGTGCAACGCACCAGGCAGGTCGCCTCTGGGCCTTTGCACGGGACGCCCTGGTTCCCGCGAGAAGCCCACTGTAAACTAGTCGTGGGTTCCCACTGGCACAGAACTGTGCTCCTCCTCTACCCACCGCACGTGGCCCCTGCAGTGCACCGTGAGCTGCCTGGGGCCAAGGACAAACCCTTCCTGGGACCCTGGCCGGCCCACAGCCTGGCTCAGCGCTGCTCCAGAGCCGTCACCGCCAGGCGGCGAGCTTCCCAATAGCTCCCGCGACCTCCCTCCGGCCACAGACCTGGTCCCTGGGAGGCCCAATCGCTTGCTTGTGATCCCCTGGCAGCAATAGCAGCTCTGGGAACCTCGCCCAGTCATGGACGACTTGTGCTGGGGCGGGACGGAGGCTTCGCTGTGCTAAGTAGGTCCTCAGGTCGCTGAGTGGAGAAGCCCAACCAGTTACCTGCAGCTCAAGCCGGGTGCTTCTTGGGAGGCCTGGTGAAGGGCTTCCTGCTGCTCCAAGCAGAAGGGGTGTTATGAGGCTTGCATTCAAGAGCGTGTAGAAAAAACCCGCCCTGACCTGGGCGGGACAGCATGCATTCACCTGCCTGCCCCCACCGACACACCTGGGACTCTCCATACACGTGCTCTTAATCACCTCTGACCTGGTCCACACCACCCTCCGAGGTGCAAACTAAGCCACCTGAGTCCTTCCCATTTTCTTCCAGGGAAGTTTCCACATGACCCTAATTTGCTTAATTTCCTCCTGCTCTGGCAGGATTTCTTTTAGATCTGGGCATATGTTAATTTGCATAGCTGGCATCTCCATATTTTTCTCCATTTTTCAATTAGCAAATTTATCTCTTTCTTTGATGCAAAAGTACCGGCAAGATTTTGTTGTGTTTTTTTTTTCCTCACCTAAAATCAGAAAGCTCAGCAGATTTGAAGCCTGTTACTATTCAACTTCAGCTTTTAATTCATGTGCCTATGTTTGTAAGTGCCCACAAAGGTGATGTGTCTTAACCTTGATGGGCACAGCCAGACTAAGGTATTGAGGAGGCATCTTTAGGCAGGTAATGGGGACCCCTGTTTGAGTAAGCTGGGCCTGGGGACCAACCATGGCAAAGCCCGGCTTGCATGGTGCTCTCTGCACAAAGTGCGACACGCACTGACCCCACGCTGCCGGGAAGGCGGGGTTCAGCCATCTGTGGGAGCTTCCTCAGGCACTGGCGGGGGTGTCTCACCCCATCCCCACACAGCTCTGTCCTTGGAGTGGTTCTGCTAAAGTCCGCGTTTGTCAACCGGTGATCCATGTTCCCTCCCCGGCTGCCCTGTGTGTGCCCCGGGCGCAAGGCGCCTTGGGCAGCTGCTTGACTCGGCGCCGAGCCAGAGCTGGAAGTCACGAGTGACTGTTCGTTCACTCAGAGAACCTCAAAGCGGCCACACTCCTCTGCCACTTCCTGCCGCGGGCCTCACCGTATTCACCTAACACAGCGCTTTGGGCCCCTTGGCCACACCCTGCTGCCGCTGATTCTAGGGACACCTGCAGGGCGGTTTCCACGATGAAGTGAGACGATGGGGCACCCAGGGTAAGGGCTCCTCCCCTGCTTCTGGCTCTCATTTCATCTCAGGGACCCCCCCCACCACACCCCCAGGAACAGCCCTACACCCCCGTGGATGGGAGACACGCATCCCCACGGGGATTTTAGTGACTCGGAGCAAGAAGCACTGCTCCCTCCGAGGACCCATCTGCGAGCAGAGGTTCGGTGCAGGCAGACCTGTGCTGCTGGCTG